AGTAGTTAAAAGATAATCGAAGTTCTTACTAGGTCACAAATAGATATAATTTGGTCCTTCCAGAATTTCTCATGTTTTCCTGCCTGCATACTTCATTTAACTAAAAGGTAAGTTAGTTTAATCGGGGATTACCTTGAATGCAAGCAGATATTCTTTGTGTAAAATGATAGCAGCTGAAATATTATCTCAGCACTTTTGCTTGCTACGAATTTCTACTCAAGTCTACAATGAGCGTCATGTTAAATGTTTTGCATTTCTATTTTCAAGCGCTCAGGAATGAAGAACTTCTGTAAAATAAATGTTTTGTTTAACAACTTATCAATTATTCACCGCTTCCACTGAAGTGCTTAAAAAAATGAAATTCACTAAACAGTTCCCTTTCAAGAATAACTCGGCTTAAATGTTCCTACACAAAACAGTACACGGCCAGAAAGTCAGTGCAAAAATTACGCTTATCCAGCTTCAACACTAAAATCGAAATCCATTTGTACTGTTTGTAAAAAATTCACTTTCCTATTAAACTAATTTTTCTTCATTAATGTGAACAAATGCTTACTAGAAAGTCCCCAATTCGTAATTTTTCGACAACAAAAACTATGGAAACTAATGGCATTTGTACACATTTGAATGAAACAAATATAATTTACTGTTGAACTGACAGCAAACTAATTACAACATATTTGTTTCGGTTAAAATGCCCAATTAAAAATTCATTAAATTTTAGTCAAATAACACATTTGCAAAGCTATTCTGTTGACGCATTTTCATTTAAAAGAATATTGCCTATCTTAAGCAAATTAAATAATGGTTACATTTAACCCAATCGGGGAAGACTATTTTTATGTGAAGGAATCAGCATAAATTTGCTGTTAATTTTTGACATAAGAATGTTATTTCTACACTTTTCACACGCAAGGTTACAGCACGCACACTTTATAAGCAGTTCTTTAAGGCAGAAGACAGTAATAAGAAGTAAGTTTGCCACTTTCCATTGAGATGTGATTAAAGTTACCACAGATTTTCAATTTTATCCCGTAACAAATTAAAACCACGGAAAATACATAATTTAAATAGACTGCGTCAATCCGCAGGAATCCCTGCCTCTATTTTCTGCTTCCTGCTGTTCAACATCGATATGATTTCTCATCATGGACTGGAATCTGAGTCACTTCTGAAATTTTACCACAGAACTATTTAAGTCACATTTGATGTCTGTTTAGACTAGATGAAATACGTTGACTGATCACCGTAGAGTGACTATTCTCATATTATCTCATCCTGTTTTGAAGACAAGTCTTACTGATGAGTACCAATGAGAATGAAACCTAGGGCTACCCATCGATTGTCTTCAACCATTGTACATCAGTCTAAGTCCACTGTGATATCCAGTCACATAACTTGGTGAGCACATTTCAAAATGTTAGAGTTCAATCAACACTTGAGACCAGATAATAATAAACTGGTTACTCGTCAGCGACCGAGCTGTTTGGAAATAATATTCACCGCGGATTTTTGTTTTGTTACAATAGCTTAGAACATTACTGGACCAAGTGATGAGTAAAGAAGTAACTTAGAAGTTTTTTATGGGAACTAACAAATGTAATAAGGTCGTATATGCAGTCATCATGTGTTTCTTCCATGGTATAAAATGTTAAGACATTTACAAGGCATTAATGACAAATTGAACAGACTCATTTATGCATGAATAATAAGTCAGAATATTATTGAAGTTTTGAATTCACGCTTGACTTTTACCTTGACTTATCCGGAATAATTCTAAACTTTTTTATCAAGTCTGTCTTCAAGTTATAAATTATTTTTTTCCTACAAATTTGAATTGTGTGAACATAATTCCTTCGTTAATTCAAAAACGTCCCAATATCCGTAAAAAACAGTCATAAAAATGGCTTCAATTCTCGTAGGCATTTCATACAGTGTTAAAAATGACACGCTGTTCTAAGGTTTTATAAATTCTTATGTCAAGGGACTAGGAAAAGTTTGTCACTAGTTTGAAAATGGATAAACGTCCAAATATTATTTTTAAATCACGAAACTTTACTAGATTTCTTCCTAGATATTACTACCTACGTCAAAATGTTTATGGCTAACCTAAGTGACATAAAACAAATTGTGACAAACAATGATATGAATAGCTTTCGGAAAATTAATTAGAAAATTGGAAAGAATAAAAACGGAGTTTTGAGCTGAAAATAGGGATGTATATCATAGGTTAATTAGATCACAGGCAGTATACAGATCAAAATCTCTGACAAAAACTGCAGCATGGATTTAGGAATCACAAAAATTATAACCTGATGTACCTATTTTAGTTACTTTTCACTGCAATCATAGAAAGGAATTTTAATTCAAGAAAACCACATAGAAAACTCCCCTTGATATGAAAAGTTTACAAGTTTTACCAGTGGACTATTATGAAATCAATCTACAGTGTTGCTTGAAAAGAAAATGAAGAACACTCAACTAAATATTCTTATTCGTTGATGAGTTTCACGTTATGACAACTTTCTACCTGCTTTTGATAATCCAAGTTAAACAGAGATGTCTCATCATTTCACTTCAAATCAGACCATACAAACAAAGAGATATGATCAACTGGTCGATTCTCTACAGTAGTCAGGTTTGACTGGCAGATGTAATTGTGCTTGACTTATTGAACCCTGAAAGAAACCTGACACTGATAAAAAAAATATAACAAGCAACCTCCGCCATACTTTTGAGGCATTCTGCTAATTTGTTTGGTCAATTTAACTTATAAATAGGCTGCGATTCCACGTAAATCATCAAATGCCTTAACCTGAGTGACATGGATAAGACTGATGTTTAACTGATGAAACACCTGTGTACCAATGGCTGGTTTGAATATTGATATAACCAAGGTTTTTGAGGCATTTCAACCACCGTTTCATAGACAAGTAATAACTTATCACTTGAAACTCATATCAAGAAACTAATCAACATTACATGAATATTCATTCCTTTTACATAAGCTTGGTTTGAATTTAGGTTAGAGGAATTATTTATTTTATTCAAGCTGCTATTCATATATTCACTGCCTTAGATAAAATACATACACATGTTATACAAAGGTGTTTTCAGTAAACGTTCGCTGACATAAATGTGAAATTCTAATACTGAAAATCGAATCCTTGGAGAGAAGAAGACTGGATAAATACAACTGGTTTTCCCGAAATAAAAGGGGGCTTTCAAATAGAAGTACAATAAAGTTCTTTTTCTATCTTAAACTGCTAAAATGTATTGTTTTACATCGTGTGACTTACTGTAACTACTTTAGACGGTCAACTGCAAATATACAGACCTTTCATTACACCCAGAAAAAACTAGTGGTTATTTAATTGAAAGCGCAATAAATTTATATCAAAATGTTGAGTAATAAAAGCCCTTACACAACTGGTAATTTGTTTCAATTAGTTCTACCTAAATTAATATTTAGCAGCCAAATCTTCACAAGTTTGTGTTTTCACAAGAGACTTCATGATTGAATAACAAATATCCAACATTTTTTTCTCCTCAAAAACTGCTAAAAAAAAGCATTGAACACTGCTTTAGGAAGTACAGCTCTACTCAGCTTATCATGATTTCACTTTATATCGAATTTTCTATGTGACATTTAAGTAAAGTGCGTCATTATTTTGATTTGCGAAAATTCTGTCATTTCAGCTGTCAAATGGCAATCATTTTGGTAAACGCAAACTTATTTTTGAGTATATTTCTAAGCAAGTTGTTGGGCTGAATGACCGCGAGCTATTTTTTGAATTCCCGTGATTGGTGTGTGATGCTCCAAACTAGTCATACAGAAGGAGTGTATGCAAGTTCAGTGAGAGAATTGTTAAATAAAGTCTAGAGAAGTCACATAATTAAGGAAGCTAGCATGCATGAAAAATCTATAACCAGGATGTGTTTAGGCATGATATAATCAACCTGCATTATTTTATCTTTGAGAAGTCAAGCAAACAAAACAATTCATTGTTCAGTGAACAGTAATTTGTGAGTAGAACCTGCTAAACAACAATGTTGACCACCAAGACGAGTGGAAAACTTAAAATATTTTAACCATATGACAGACATTTTGAAGCTTATAACCACTTTTACACTCTGAACACCGCAAACACTCCCCACCTCATTGACATAAGATACCAGGCTGACATGTTCGAAGCCTCCGAAGTAATCTGCAAACTGTTAGGTCCAACTCTGTTGATCTTTGCATAGGCTTTAAGTACCAATCGTCTCTTACCTGATTTTTCTGTTTGCAGAGGTGCAGTCAACCTACACTTACCCTGGAAACCAGTTTCTGACTTTTGCTTGATTACATCATTGTTTATTAAAACTAGATGTTTATTCTTTGACTCAATTCATGAAATCATATTTTGTGCAGTAACATCTGTTTGAATACGCCATTTTAACGAACTGACCTTAACTCTTCATGTTTTTTCTAGTACCTTATTTAGTGGATTACTAATTTACCTATTCTTATATCTTAATTCACTTAATACTCCAGTTGTTGCCACTATGCCTTGACAAATTCCATTCATCTAAACTACCAAACAATAGTCTTTTCTCCAGGTTAGTTAGTGTTAACTTTCCAGTTAAGCTGTATACTTTAATACTTTAGGTTGCAACCAGTCGACAAGATAAAGTGGAAATTTTAAAAAATATGTTTTATCTTGCTTCACTTATGGTCCAAGCTCTTCAAATTCAAGAAAGCGAATTGGTGCATGAAACCATTAGTTTATTTTGAATAACATAGGTATGTTTATGAAGACTTTCAAACAATGTTTCAATAGGTGGGTGGTAACTACAGTTGAGGTACAAACTGTACACGACATTGTGTTTCCATAGTGATACCTTTTGTAGCATTTAAAAGTAAAAAGTCTTAGGTCAATGTTTACTTGAGCTAAAAAGTTATCGTAAGTGTGGAAGCATTCCCTATCTAATGCAATCTTTTGTGTTAATAATTACAGCACACTCCGACGAAATATATCCTAACGCCCACCACCGTTCAAGCAACATATGTCAGAACGAAACTTACAGAACATTTCATACTGAATCAAACAAATTTGTTGGTCAACAGCGGACACACCAAATATACACTGATCGAATTAAAAGTACGATGAAGATGGAACAGTATGTAGCATTAATTGATCAAGCTTATCTTCGAACACAAGCGGTCAGAAACAAATAATTCGAAAATCATTACGTGCAACATATGAATGTAAATTTCACAGATGCCATTAAATGTACCATAAAATGCGTGAAAATCAGTTGCGTTCTTCTGTTTGCATGGCTGAACGCAAACTATGATACAAATGTATAGGTTAAATATTCAGACTATTCAAATTCTATCAATTACATATGGTGATGATAATGAATACATATCTCAGCAGAACATGGATTATAAAAGTAAGCTGATATGACGACAAAATTCTTGTAGGTATTTAGCTGAAATCCATAGATTAGTATAATTGTTTTTATATGATACCGCTGCTGATTGGACCGAATTGATTGGTCTTTACTAACATATGGGCTCCTATGCGGATGCGGATGGCAATATCGAGGCATCAGAACAGGAGCCCATATGTTAGTAGAGACCAATCAACTCGGTCCAATCAACGACGGTATCATATAAAAACAATTATACTAAAAACTATACCTGCCGTACAAAAAGTGGCTATCGTGGCCCGGTGGTGTAGTGGACAACGCACTGGCGTTTGAAGAGAATGCTCCCGAGTCCGAATCCCGGTGAGAACAACATCACTCACTAGGAAGCAGTTACATCCAGCTGAGGAGTCCCAAATAAGACTAAATGCGCTTCCTGGATTCCACTGCTTGCCAAGATGCATCATTAACATATCCATAGATTCACAGCACAATCGCAAACTATTCAGGGTTTTTTTGTACTAGACGGTGGTGAACAGGAAATCGAAACGAATAACGTGGCCGAATTCTAACTGAAATAAAAGACCCAAATGCCAACTGTCCTACTTCCACTTCTGTCACATCGAGGTTGCGATGCCGTAGTCATAAAGATGCGAATGCGAATCCTGCTATGATTTTGGTTTTTACATTACCTCAGCATTCAAATAGAATGCAAGCCCTTTTCCCTGTAAAAAATATTTCAATCAAAAATCCTTCAGCTTTTATGTACCGGAATAAAAGTTCCGGTTGTCACAAAACCGAGTTGAGACCGTATTTTTGTATCATCGAAATGTATCACATGAAGTTAGAAACCCATTCAGCTAAGCACTGCAGCAGCACGAAGAGCAATCTAAAATCAGTAAAGTCCAAAACAGCCAGGATAAGAATTCATGTATTTTAGTTCTTTTAAATTTTTTTATTTTCCAAAATGTTTAACTGTGTTCGCCTGATTCGAGTACTAGAAAGAGACAGTATGTGCCCAATCCATCTCCACTTCCTTCCTGTGCACATTTGTTGAGCCATAGGTTCTTGAAGGGTCGATCACCAGCCAGAGTAACCTGTTGCTTATTCTTTCCGGCAATCCATCTGATCTTCAGTAGCGAGCGTAAGCAGTTGTTGATGTTTGTTTGTAGTTTATTGAAAATCCCTTTCGTAACGCGCCAAGTCTCTCAACTATACAAAAGCACTGACTTGACGTTGGTGTTGAAAATCCGCATCTGGTTCCACGTGCCGAGTGCAGAAGATCTCCACACTGGTTTCAGGCTAATGAACGCCTGTCTTGCTTTACTGATTCTGACTTTGACACCCTACTCTGCGCCGTCTGTAAATGAAACAGCGCTGCCTAGATAGGTGAAGGAGGTTACTTCCTCTAAGTCTCTCCCCTTCATGGTAATTGGAGCTTCATGTTGTTGGTGCGGCATCTTCATCACCTCTGTCTTCTCTATATTCACTTGAAGTCCCGTCTTCACTGCCCTGCCCTGCCTCTTCTGTCAGCTCGTTGGTTTTCGCCTGTAGATCTTCAAGTTTGTGTGACATCAGACACAAGTCATCGGTGAAATCCAGATCTTCTAGGTTCTTTTCCGCAGTCCAGAGTATCCCCCCTCTTCTCGCCCCCCACTGTTTGCTGCATGATCCAGTCCACCACAATCAGGAATATCATGAGTGATAGTAGGTAACCTTGTTTCACTCCTGTCTTCACTTCAAAAGCATCACTGAGCTTCCCATTGTGAATTACTTGGCATGTGGCGTCTTCATAAAGTTGCTAAATCAGGCTGATAACGGTTTGCGGTATTCCGTAGTGTTTAAGGGGTTTCCAAACTACCTCTCAGTCGACGCTGTCAAAGGCCTTCTCAAAGTCGATGGAGTTGAGGAAAAGATCCCGTCGACTGTCATTCTATACTCTGTTCTATGATGATGCGAAGCGTTGCAATTTGGTCGGCACATGATCTGTACTTCCTGAATCCACCCAACCAGCCTGTTCCAGTCGTAGTTTTGAATCCAGTGCATCCTTTATTCTCTCCAAGATGATGCGGCTTAATATTTTGCTTGCATTGGGTGGACAGGAGAGTGATTCCGCACCAGTTCTTGCAAACACTGAGGTCTCCCTTCTTCGACAGTTTGACAAGGTAACCCTTCTTCTAATCGCCAGGTACCTTCCCTTCCTTACACACCTTCTGCAATAGTGGTGTGGTGTGAGCATGTCCGTTGTTGTCTATGCGTCTGCTTTCAGTGCTTCTGGCGGGATCCCATCTGATCCTGCTGCTTTCCCACATTTCAATATTTTTATGGCGTTCAGGACTTTCATTTTTGTTGGAGGATTTATGTTCACTTGTAGTTCAGCGGCTGGGCTGCAGGTGGTATTTCTGGACGAAGTGCAGGTGGTGGTGGTGGTCGATCCAAGAGCTTCTTGAAGTGGTCAGCCCACTGTTTCCTTTGTTTCTCTTCTTTCGTAATTAAATTTCCGTCACCATCTTTTATTGGTTTCGTCTGCGTTGATCTCCTCCCAGATAGCAACCTGGTTATTTGATACGATGAACAACGCTTAGTGAAGTAGGTTAAAGCCATCACGACTTGTATAAATACGATTACTGAGCATCTGCATCTGCTAAATTGTTGCTTAGGATATCTTTTCTGCAAATGATATCACTTTGTGATGAATATTACCTCAAAATTAAAATCCCCACTAATCTCAAAATATCTTTACTTACCTCCCATGAATTACTGCCTTTTCACTTTGAGTTGAAAGACTTACGATTTCTACCTCTTCTTTTTGACGAAGGAAAAGTTGCAAGTTTTCATCAGTAGCAGTATGACATGGCGACTTGTATACACGCACTATCTTGACGTATGTCACGAATCGTTACGTCAGTGAATGGACTTTAAATTGCGTCATCTTAAGCCAGTACAGTGATTGGTAATCGAGAAAAAGTTCATATTTTCTTGAGATCTACAAGACTTTGAAATTCTTGCAAAACGTTTTCAGAGCAGAGAGCTGATAATGAACTATTGAAACAATATTCTTTGCAGTTTTCAAGAATAAGTTTGTCTTTTTTTAGTTGTGGTGATAGTTTTATTTTCATCAGGGGTGGTGTCTGACATGCCATCGATCAGTCTTCAAAATACACAATACTGTAAATTTGGTAACGTTAATGCTTTTTGGTGACCAAATTAGAGTTCCGTTTTAAATGTTGTCAGAAAACCTAACTACATAGTTTTTAGAATCTGTTTAATATGGTAATCAGTTTGCATTTATTTAAAAGGTAGTCTTTAAGCCTAGCCTTCACCTTCACCTGCGTTAAAGTTTCTTTCTGTTATGTCTTAAATGTAGGTATTCAACTTACAAGTAAGAATAGAAAGTGTTTCCTAATGTTACTGTGTAAACTTTCACAAACAAACAAATATATATGAATTTGTGATCTGTGACTTTGAAAATTTTTCTCAGCAAATAATTCTTTCCTAAAATGAATACAAAAGTCTTGAATGACTTGAAACTTGAAAATGGTAATTTATGTTTCACTGTATCTATCTGTACGTAGTAGAGAACTTGTTTTCTGATTTTGATGAATTATTCCAGAGAAATGAATATCGGTAGTAGGAAACACACCAATGGAATTTTCTAATTCAATTCACTATTCAGTTTTTAAAATTTTCGGTTAGGCTGAAATGAGTAGTTTTATATACTCAGCGGAAAATTTGTTATTCCTTTTTAGGGCAAATAAACACTTTATGGTTTACTTATTTGAAGTCAGTCGGCAGGAATCCCTGTTTAACGTAATCTTCGTACTTGTTGGGACTGGCCAGAAAGGAATAACTGCAACCATGAAAGAACTACAATTCCATTGGTGATTCGAGTTCACACCATTTATGCTGAAACGAATGATTCCACCACTAGACTGTTCAAACCACGAGTAATCCCGTGTTTTTGTACAAGATTTGGTCACTAGTTTGCGTCCAACGTAGCTATCTAGTTCTAAGTTTTTGGTACTGAAACAAATAGACTCATCAGGTTTCCATTTTGGCTACTAAGCAAGACTTTGGCTTTCTCAGTTTTAGTGGTAGGAGCCGGTACTCAGCTGCACTATTGCAAAGACATTTGCCAGTAAAAAGAAATTTTTTATTCTTCTAGTGAAACACACTAGGTTTCTTTTTGCCTACCTTGTTTGTTCCAATAATTTGTAATCCCGTATTTTTACTAAGTTATCTAGCCATTTTCACAGAAAGATGTTAACACTAGATTTTTTCGAAAATATTCGCACACCAAAGTTTATATTAATTTCGCTAATTCTCTGAAAAAATTTTCAAAGACAAATTTAGAATTTGCTTACGTTCTTCACATTAATAAACGAAGATAATTCAAAACAGTAAACACAAACCAGTATAAAGGTGTCACAAATGTATTACATACGAATCCAAACTACTTTTCTCATCATAGTTGCCAGGACAATACTTGTACTTATTATTTTATATATATGTCATGTGTAGATGTTGCACCTAAACATTTTAAAAATATGAGATGTAGTTTATGCTAACGTGAAACTCATTTAAACGGATTACGGTATTCGCTGAATGTGTAACATGATGTATGATTTTATTTGTATTGTGTTCTCTGAGCTGGGTTGTTTATTACACAATACAACCAAGACCATCTACCTGGGCTACAAATATTCTCCATCATTTCAACATGATGTATGCTGATGACGGATAAGGGTATAGTGTCCAAAGTACTATCGATTACGACGTAATGCATTTAAATATTACCGAACGTGG